TAAATCAAGGGACTGATGTGAATCAGACTGCTTGACGGATGTTCAATGACATCTTGGGCCCTGGCACCAAGGACGCTATCTCATCTGTGGTTGTACCTCTTACTATTGAACACTAATGCATTCTTGAGTTTTCTCCTCGCTGCTCCTGTACAGTTGAGCCAACTATGATATTGTGGACTTGGCTCTGGCTATCTTACCCTAGAAACTTTCTTCCTAACCAGTATTCAGAATGAGATACTGATTGGAGCATGAGATTTACTCAGGGTACTGCTGGACAACCTGCCATATCCTTCTTCTTTGTCTCAAAGTCATCCATTCCTCCACTGCCTCCACACTCTTAGCTAGGAGGTGATCAGCAAGAATCATGTTATCCAAGCAAGATTTTACATCATAAATGCATAACAATGATGCTAGCTGCCTAATCAAGGTCAAAATCCCTAAGCTTGAACTGCTTCAGCTGACAGTGCTTCCTGTATATGGCACTTTCAAGACATTGGAATGTTTTGGAGTCTCCACATGGAACAAGATGTACATCCAAGACCTCTGAGATGGTCTGTCATATCAACTATACCTAACATAAATAAACTAAAGACAGAACACATATGCCAACTATTCATGAATGTTATCCAAGTCTTGCTGCATGGAGATATGGAATGATTCATCATTGATGGAATTGCAATCAGAATTGAACAATGTGCAACTATCTGTGAAAAGCTCCACTTCACCTTATGATGGAGGGATGGTCATTGATGAAGCAGCTGAAGATAATTCTTAGCAGGGCACCACCCTGAGGAACTCCTGCACTGATGTTGTGGGGCTGAGATAGTTGGCCTCCAACAACCACAACCATCTTTCTCTGTGCTAAATATCATGTGGATGAATTTTGCTGTCATCCCCATTGACTTCAGTTTTATATGGGATCTTGGCGCCACACTCGGTTGAATTCTGTTTTCAAGCCAGTCTCAGCTCTGAAACTTAGTTTTTATGTTTAGCAGGTTATTGGTGCATAAGTACTATTTGATAGCAGTATTTAGAAGCCTGTGAATGTTTTAGTTTTGTCTTCTTTTACTGACATTCTGGGCTCCACAGCCCTTGAGGATGGGGATGTTCTTTGCTCCAATCATTTTTAATTGTCCACCAGCACTTTTGAATGAATGTCCCAGGACTACAAAGCATTGACTTGATTATGGGTTCACTTACTTGTATTTGTAGCAGTAGTTCTCAAACCTTTCTGGATTATTACTTGTGGAACTCCAACTAAATTAATCTTCAAAAATACAAGCATACAAAACAGGAGCAGAAGAATCCAACTTAATTATCCAGATAGTTATCCCAGAATAAAAAAGGATTAAACCTAATCTAGTTCCTGGCTATACGACTGACTTATCAATCACTGACACCACCCAACTGTTCCCACAACCTTGACTACCACTACTGAGAATTGAGCATAGAGAACACATCAGGAAAGCAGAAACTTGAATCTCCCTTCCTAACAGCACCATGAATGTATGCACAACACTGCCATGATTCAAGAAGGCAGATCATCATCAGCCTTTCAATGATAATTAAGGGTGGGCAATAAATGCTGACCTTATATGCCATGAATGATTTTTTATTAAAGAATGTCCTCAAGTACCCATGCAGAGGAAATATAGGTCTCTTACTTAAATTTCTATGTTGCAAATACAATCTATTGGGAAAAAAACACTTGTTTATATTTTTTATAACAAGATGGCGTATGCTTTAAGGATGTGCAGCTTTGTATAATTCCAAAAGTAATCAGTAATTTATTACATTAGAAAATTTCTGTTGACATAAATCACATCATGTAACCCAAAACAGAAACATTGTTTATAGACTGTAACTGTTTGTCTTTAAAATGAAAGGCGACAAAAAAAAAGAGAATTTATACAGAATGCTAAAATGTAACATTTTTTTAAATCTCTGCAGTCAAAGCAAGGGGAAATCAAGCAGTTGATAACTTTGTAATAGAAACGTTACCAATTTCAGGAAAACATTGTGCTCTTTTACATTTACTAGCAAATTTGCCTGGTCGAAAAGGTGGAGTTGGAAGTGCTCAGAAGGGTCTAACTCAATGTACACCAGGAGAAACTCAGGCTGCTATCAACAAACACAGCAGAAGACCGAAGAGGGCAGCAAGACCAGCAGTCACCTGGTGAAGTTCCACAGAAAAAGAAAACTCATTAAAACACTTCAGTAATCTTATACCACTGGCAGAGAATGACCTGTTGGGTGACAAAAGAATGATTGGAAGGAAACAAAGGTGATTGTAGGCTGAATGGTATTTATTGAGGAATAGAATTATATAATTGGTCTACTATTGCACAGGGTGGCACACATCTATTTTCATCCTCCAGCTACCATGTCCCTTAATGAGCAACAAGGTAATGAAGCACAACTAGCAATCGGTGCATGGGCAAGGTATGTAAGTCTAAGTGGAAGCCTCAGATCCAATAATAGATAAGCAAGACACTAGAGCTTGGGTGTAAGCAATGTGATACAGACATCACATGTTCTGGGGATGGTCATAAAACAGATACAGAAAAAAAAACTTGAGCTCGGAATATGCCTTATTTTTGCTTCAGTGATAGTTTTACACAACGCAAAATATGTTTTATCTACATAATTCTAGAAAATACTGATGGTAATTCTAGAAAACTAATTTTTTTTTAGCATTTAAGTATTTAAATAACATTTGTCTGTTAGTCAACAAGCTGATTTTTACCATCATAAAAATAGTAGACAAAATACATGATTATATTAAACATGTGTGCTGATATCACCATCAGTAAAATTCAGACTGTAATTACATTATGAAATACTAATAAAAATAAAACTGAGTATATGCTTGTGTCCTGAGGCTGAGAATTCCTACCCTGCTATTCTACACCAACAGATGTTTCTTTTTCTCTCACTGTTTCATTCACTCCAACTGCCAAACAGTGATCCAACTCTTCCTTCATCTGCTTCTCACTCTCTCCCCTAACTATGAGTTTGATTTAACACAAGTCACTCAAGATATATGGTCAGTCTAATCATAGTACCAAATAAACATATTATCATCATAGACATGGGACCAACCCAGGTTGGAGTCAGGAAGGAACATGAGTTTTCAATAATTTCAGTTTCAAGGAGCCCTATAAGGTAGCATTTCAGACTCTAATATTCATTTTTGACAATTTGATATGGTCATGTTACCAATTAAAGTCAGGTTTAAATATGACCTTACACAAAACCATACAAATTTATACTAAAATTGCCTGTCTGAAAGAGAAATTAGGGAGAAATATAGAAATTATGGAAGCTCTATGCAATTAACTTCATGGACAACTGCATGGTTGGTTAATTCGAGTATAACTCATCCACTTAAGCTAAAAAGTCCCTGGTGCCAGATTCATGCCAACATCCCTTAACTGAAACACTGTGGCTCAGTTTTAGCCCCCCTGAGTTACGGAGGAGCATGAGACAAAGTGATCTTGTTCCTGATAACTGTCTAGTCATCATTTCAGAAAATGATCATTCAATTTGATTGTGTGACTTCCAGAATTGAATAGACTGACAGTAAAGGGGAAATGCTGAACAGAAGGAAACAGAGTCTGAATGAGGTGCCTTGTGGGAGAATGAAATAAGGGTTTGACCATTTGGAAAGCAGGATCAAGAGATTCACAGCATTTTTCTTTATTTTAGCAATCACCAGCATCTTGTTAAAGAAAGTAGGATGAAAGGAATGCAGGAGAACGTTGTCACTTTAAACTCGAAAAGTGACAGTAGTAACTTCAGACCTTAACCACAGCCTCACTATCTTGCAATGTGAGCAGAATTTGCCTCAATGCTTAGAGGCATAAAAGGCGTATGACCCTTTTAAAACACCACACCACAGCAGCATGTGTTTTGTTTATTCGGGCTTTTGATTTATGGTCTGTTACATTTGTTACTTACTACTGCTGATTATTCCTCACGCATCGATCTAACCCTGTATTTTGTTTCCGGTTGGTTGTTCATCTTATCTCGACCATTTTTGAAGCGTTGCACTATCAAGTCATCCAACCTGTCAACGCCTTCTACGTATTTGCGTATTTATTGGTTCTCTTCCCCTCCCTTCTCCCAAGTGCGTACTTTCCCTCCCAAAATTACTCAAATGCCTGTCTTTGTTGAAAGGTTACCCACCTGAAACATCAAAACGTATTTTCTCTCTCTTTTATTTACAGCATTTCATTTTGATATCAAATTCCAACGTTTAACACGTTGCTTTTCAACTACAAAGCCATGTGGCCGCAAGGCTCCTCTTCTGTCATTAACTCCGGCGTGGTGATTTCTGCTACTCATGGATTTCTGCACTGATACCTGTAAAGCTGTTGTGGGATTTACTTTGACAAATTGGCCGGCGCGTCGAATTTACTGTCTGAATCTTTGCCACGGTTCTAGGGAGTGTGGAGACATAAACTGAAGTCATCTGCAGAAGTGAATAAGAGATAAATGAGTTGACTTCTCAACATCTATTTTCTAATTTGGGGGGGAAGTTGAAGGACGATTGCAGCCTTTGCATTTGGATCGTCCTCAGCAGTCGGTGGGCCTCAGTCTCCTAACAACCTGAGCTAGGTTTGATTCTGGCTGTTTGTTTGATGCTGGTTGCCAGCCACAGAGAGTAGCCCCCTCCCTCCGCTCACGCCCTTAGTGAATCTTGGTGAATGGTGAATCTGCTGTCTGTGCAGTGACCAATGAAAAAACCGCGTGAGGAGAGACCCGCTGCCAGGCGCCAATAGTATTTGGAATGTGGCGAATTGGCGCCTCTTTCAGCCAATAGAATGTGAGCATAGTTTGGTTCCGCCCAGGATATCCACCAATAGCAGCGTGGGAACCCGTAGGTATGATTGACAGATTCATGAGCCAAACACTCTGGAACGTAGTTGTGATTGATGTGGACACTATCCAATGGGTCGCTGAGGGGCGGGTTCCCAGCCACAGTTGCTGGATGTGGTTCTGAAATTGGGGAGAAAGCCAGGTGCAAAGAGTGGGCTGGAGAGAGATATAGTTAGGGATTCAGCAAACCGCTCCCGGTCTGAGATACCAGCCGACTGGGCAGTGAGGGGGGAAAACGGGGAGAGGCTGAGGCACAGAGCGGGTGGAAGGGAACAGGCTTGAGAAAGTGATGGGCTCGAGTATGGAGTGTAGTCGGGACAGGTTCTTCACCTGGGACGAGGTGCAGAAGCACTGTACCCGCAGCGACCGCTGGCTGGTGATCCACAGGAAGGTCTATGATATCAGCGAGTTCAGCAAAAGGCACCCGGGAGGGGCCCGAGTGATCGGGCACTACGCGGGGCAGGATGCTACGGTAAGCATGGAGCTTTAACAGCAATAAGGGTGAGAGAGAGATTCAATAATCCAAGTAATCACTCACCAATAGGGAAAACGAAATGTGTGAGCGACAATCAGAGACTGACAACATCTCATGTAGTACCACGTCAGGTTCCCGAGGACCTTTGTTTTAAAGATGGTGGGGTGAAGTTATTGATCAATGGTCAGAGAGAGTGAATAAGGCAGAAAAACATGTCACTCACTGACCAGTCATGGCAGAGTGTTCTTCACGTGTTGGATTTTTCTGAAGGTTCGCCAAGCAGAAAAGTTGCTTTACAACCGGACCGACTTTGCTGTGATCTAAACCATAACGCGTAATATGCGTTGACTAGCGAGTTCAAGCTTAACAATAAATCATCCGTCACTGAAGATCACATGGTATGGCCAGTCCATTCCACGTTTGCAGAGGCAGTCTTCCCTATCACAAACATGACTTACTTCAATCATTGAAGTAAGATTCATTTTGACTGACTGTCCCAGGTCAGTAGTGATCATCAGGGAGTGTGACCATCTGAAATTATTGAACCAAATAGGATCAACATTTACTGATAAGAGAATCAAAAGAGAATAAAAGATCGATCAATCTTAAAGGGACAGATTGATGATCACATACTACAAAACCAACGACTGGGATAAAAACTGATCTCAGATCAGAAACATCAGGAATAATGATCAACAATTAAGGAATGATCTTAGTGTTGGAGAAAAATGGAAATCAATGTACTGGGAGAATTCATAGAAAAAAATGTTATAGGTACTGGCAATTATGAAGATCTCTTATCAACAGGTAAAAAGTAATTTGAGAATGCAGAAGTATTACAGTAAGGCTGAGAATAGGATTCAAGGCACAAGCAATACATAAAAATTTTGAGAAGTATCAAACTGTTGGGTGGTACATGACTTGGTCATCCCGCAGCCTTAGGATCAGCATTGTGGAAGCTGATAAGCCTTTCCTGTAGACCCTCTGAAACTGAGGAGCCATTCAGTAGATGTATGACATACAAAACTGCACCATGACTACTCAGAAGAACTTCTGGAGTCCTCAAGAATGTCCTTTTACCACCCGTTCTATCAGTCCACATCTAAAGCAATTTCCGGAGATTGGGTAACAGCCTGAAGTCAATCTATCTCTCATCAAACTTGGTAATGGGGAAAAAGTTTCGTATTGAGGGTGTAACTCAACTCCATCCACATTTGCCTCCAATGAGCCCGTAGTGAAAAGTATGGGAAAATTGAAATATGTTGAAAAATAGTAATTGTGGCATTTGATTTCTCTTGAGAATTTACTTGTTGCAATATGACACCTCATGTTAAGAATATAGATATTTGACAGACTTTTAATTGTTTGGTGTTGGTATGCCGAATAGCATTATTACTTTCAAGGTTTGATTTAACTTCACTAGTATTTGTGCAAATAATTTAAGTACTCAGGCAGTGCAATATTCTTCCACTAATTAGCAGAGGTAGAAAACAAGTTGTGCATTTTTGCACTTGAGCTCCTCAAGTTGTATCCTCAAATTTATTTCAAAAGCAATTTCTGCCCTTTTTAAAATCTACTTTGGTAAAATTTTCCTTGTAGGCAGGTGTCTGACCTACAGTTACTCTTAAACATATTGGTAGGTCATGTTCCAGCTGCTCCCCATTTGTAACATTTTGAGTTTGGCTTAAGCATTAACATTATTAAGGAGGAGGAATGGTGATATAGTCTTTGCAAACATTTTTTCTAATGGTATATGCTTTGATTTCAAGTTGTGTTCATCATTTTTGCAATCTCATCTCTTGTAGCGAAAGCAGATGATATCTACATACATGAATGGGCTGGAGACTGCTGAAGATGAATAATTCGTGAAAATGTTATAATCACAGTTATTATGCATCTCTAAGGCAGCCCATTCTCCTACACCTTCAACGTCCAGCTTATTGCATAACATTACCTGGAATTAGTTGTCTGTCTCAAACCATTACTCTGTACCTGTAACAACTGATCAAAGGCATGTCTTCGAAACGTCAATGCTTTCAAGTCAGGGAACACAGCTGCTGTGTTCTTCTTTTGGAAGCTGTTTTCCACACAGGTTGAAAGAGAAAGAATTTGGTTACAAGTACTCCTATGTGATCTGAAACTTGTCTATCCAACTGTAAGCACAATTGTTCCCAGAATTAGGGTACTTTGCAAGTATGTAGTCACAGTTCAAAAGTGAACCAGCCGAGTAGCTATCTGTAAAGGAGTGTCTCTTTCCCTGGTTTGGGGTATAACTATCATCATCATCAAATCCCTACAGTGTGGAAGCAGGCCATTTGGCCCATTGACTCTACATCGACCCTTCTGAAGAACATCCCACCCAGACATAACCCCCTGTCCAATCCCTGTAACTCTGCATTTCCCATTGCTAATCCACCTAGACTGTACATCAAGGGTTTCTTCCCAGTCCAAAGATGTGCAGGGGAGGTGGAGCATGGCTAATCCACCTCCCCTGCATATCTTTGGACTGGGAAGAAACCCATGCAGACGCAGGGAGAATGTGCAAACTCCACACAGACAGTTGCCTGAGAGCAGAATTGAACCTGGCACTGTGAGCCAGCAGTGCTAACCACGAAGCCACTGTGCTGCCCTAGATTTTTCTTCTGTTTGTTTATAGCTCTCTTGGATCATTCAGACCTTAAAAGATTGGCCACCGTTTAATGAATATGAAAGACTAAACTCAGTTCTAGTCAAGTTTGTCCTGCTTTCATGAAACTCTATATTCTCAGTAGTTTTTCAATGGAGAATGACAGAGGATATCTCCCCCTATTCTGAGGTGGGATCTGCCTGTATCAATGCCACTCCCAGTTTGCTCATTTTAATTTTTGACAAGTATGGTGTTTGGTGAAGCGGTTTAGAACCCTTTACAGTACGACCTGTCTGTTGGTTTATGCACTACTCCAAGATTCCTTATTGAATCATTATGCTTCACTATTAGACATTTGAAATTAGCAATTAGAATACTTTATATGTACATCTTCAGGAGGACTCCATGTGAGCTTTCTGTTTTTGTTCCCTAAGGCTAATATTATTTTATGTCAATTTTATCAGCACAAACCAGATGATATTGCTCAAACCAGTGCAAATATCGTGGAAACTCAAGTGTAAATTATATCAGGGGTGAATCAAATTTCTATGTTGTTTTTCCTGATTTAAGAATAATTTTATCCAAACTTAGCCTACCCACAAACCCTGCCACACGCCTAACTTGAAATAGTAAAGATGACAGGTTTCTGCTGATCGTGTCTGTTCATCACTGTTAGAGGAGGATCTTCAAGGAGTTACACAGGCATTGATAGACAGATTTTAAAAATCTTGCATATTGAGAAATATATTTTATTACTAAAATCTGAGGTAAACTAATACAATTAGTAGCTCAATATAGTTTCTTTTTAAGTAATTTAAAATGTGGTAACTCTACAGGTGGAGGATTAGACACTTCTATTTAAAGGTTTTTTGTCACAAATGTATTTCTGACTGCAGCAGTAAAACTGGACTGGGTTACCATTCAAAATACGTCACTGAATATGTTTTAGTGCAAAGTGAAAAAAAGTAGTATTCTACCATTATGCCCAATTGTACTGTTTCCTGGAAATTTTCACTTTTGTGATTTTGCAAATGTGTTTTAGCAAAAGAGTGAACTGAAAACTTAAGCATTGGCAACTTGAAGGGCAATTTGTGTTAATTTTCCAACAAACACAAATCTCACCCCTGCATTCATGTAACTATGTGGGGTTTTGCTTTTCTGAGTGATTTGTACAGAATTTCTGATTATTTAAAATTGTGATAGTTGCTTTGGGTATATTTGTACAGTTTCTGTTTATACAGCTCCCCCTGTGCAATTGTACAAATTACCTTTTTATTGAAATGAATAAATCAATAAGTTTAAATGTGCAATTGTCTGAAGTCCCCAGTGTACTGGGATGTCTGAAATAACCATTAGCATTTTACTAGGATCTGACACCAGTTTTTAAGTTGCATATACATTCAGCAATTTTTCAGGTCAAATTTATTTTGTCGTCCTTTATAATTAAAAATTGAGTGAAAAACAATTTATTCAAGTTCATCACAACCAATAGTTTAGTTCCTGTTGAGAGTGTTATCTACAGCACTGTTAGATAATTAGTTAGTGATTGTTTAAAAAGAGTCTTCAAATTATTTGCTCTCATTGATAAAGCAGGAGACATTGACATATACTGAAGTTATAAAATATGTCGAACCATTTTAAACATAGGGCAACTTCACAGATCCTGCATACCTGTCAAGGAGCAATGCTGATGGAGTGTAGCAGGTTGTAATCCTGTCTCCAAACCATAGTTCAGAGAAGGTTTGCTAGATTAGTACGTGGAATAAGCAGATCAGCCTTTCCTGTTAAGGCAGACAGAGAGGGCCTGTATCCTCTGGAGTTTAGAATAGTCAGAAGTGACTTAACTAAAACATATGTGGCCCTAAGGAGATGACTGGTTGAATGTGGAAAGGATGTTTCCACCAGTGGGAGAATCTGGAACGAGGGGTCATAATTTAAAAATAAGGAGGCACTCCATTTGAGATAGACATGAGGAAAGAAATTGTCTCTGAAGGTTGAGAGCCTTTGGACTGTCTTCCTTTCCTCGTAATGCAGTGGATGCTGAATCTTTAAATATTTTTCAGGCACAGATAGGTTCTTGGTTACCAAGGGAGTGAAAGATTATCAGGGGTGTGCAGGAATGTAGAGTTAAGGTTAAAATCAGATCAGCCAAATCTTATTGAACGGTACATCAGGCTCAAAGGACAGAATGCCCACTCTTATTTTTTGTTTGTATTTTGAGCAGGACTTGGGACTGTGGGGATATGCCTTTATAACTAACTGAATATCTCACCCAGCTCCTGCCTGTATAGAGTGATGCCTGCGCTATAAATAATGTTTCTCTGCTTTAGCCATCCAATAATAAAATGCTTTAATTGTAATATAATGCTTGATGTAAGCAGTATGTCCCTGTCTATTTTATGTTGTTGACTATACTCTTCACTGGATATGAGATTTATTTTAACCCCTGCGACAGACTTAATTTTATCAATAACAGGTTGCTAAATTTTCGCCTTCCTTTGCTTCACTGGATTGGAACAAACAACTGATGGTCTGACCTGAGACCTAATTTGTGTGTGTGGATTTATTGATTAATTTCACTGATCTTTCTGAAGCTGCTAGTCTTTTTCCACCTTTCTGTGCTGCCTCGGTAATCCATTGTCACTTTCATTCCCTGAGTGCAGAGTATGCTGAATTCTATGAAATTAATTTGTGAGATGTGAATATTGTGACTAGGCCAGAATTTAGCATCCATCCCTAATTGTCCTTGAGAGGATGTTTGTGAGCCACTTCGTCCTCATGTCCAATCTTATTCTTCTTAAGCATAGTGATGTCCTGCATGATTGGATTTAAACTTCCATTGTGGGTTTCTCTTTGTTTAAAAAATCCTGAATGTTGGAACATTTTCAAATCTTGCACAGATTTTGCCACAAATAAAGTGTGTTACTATGAATAACTTCTGGTCTCTTTCTTTAGGATCCTTTCACTGCCTTCCACATTGATAAGTCACTGGTGAGCAAGTACCTGAACTCACTGCTGATTGGAGAGCTTGCTCCTGACCAGCCCAGCTTGGAATCTTGGAAAAGTGTGAGTACCTTCTCCAGTCACTGTTCTGCAGAACAATTCAAGACTGTTTTCTCTAAACAGAATAGCTTGATTATTATTGTATGTAGAATCTTGATGTGTGCATTCCTACAATACAATAGCGACAATATCCCAGAAGTATTTTATTGTCTAGAGTGCTTTGTATAATTCTGAGGTCATGAAATACACTATATATAAATACACGTCCTCCTACCTTTTGTGTTGTTCCTATCATTATGAATTTCTAAGACAGACTTACAATTGCTATCCTGTTTACACCCAAACAGATAATAGTTACCTACTTTAAACATTATTTACAAGAATACTGCTGGCATTTTTCTTTCTATACAATTTAAAAATGCAAAGCAGCACTAATTTCTCAATGTGCAATGATTCTTCAAAGTGAGATTCCACTCACATTGCTAAGCAGCTTGTTTCTTTTTAAAACTCATGGTCTCTTTCACTCTCAGAAACTGATAACAGAGGATTTCCAGGAGCTACGTGCGCTTGTGGAAAGGACAAACCTCCTCAAGCCGAACAAGCTGTTCTTTGCTGGAATGCTAGCACACCTACTGCTCCTCGATGCTGCGGCATGGCTCACCCTGTGGTATTTTGGTACTTCCTTTGTCCCCTTTATGATCAGCACAGCTCTTCTGGCCATTGTACAGGTGGGTTTGCAGTTATCATGTGCATAACTGGGTAAATTCCTCCTGTAGGAATCTAACTGTCATGTTACGTGGGACTATCTAATACATGAAGTGGGAAATGCATAACTCGGCCTGACTCATCTGTGTGTGTTATATAATCTTAACAAGCTATGGTCACCAGTGAATCAAGTAGACACCAATTACCTTATGAGCTGCCATAAATTATGTTTGATGAGTCACTATGATTAGTGATTTCTGTATGTCCCAGCTGATAACTTACCCCAATATCTTCAGGTACGGCTGTCCTCTGTCTTAGTTCCTTCACAGGATGAGGGCGTCACTGGCCTGGCCAGCATTTATTACCCATTCCTAATTGTCCAGAGGGCAGTTAATGTTGCTGTGCGTCTGGAGTCAAATGTAGGCCAGAACATGTATGGATGGCAATTTCCTTCCCTAAATAGCATTAGAGAACCAGTTGGGTTTTTCTGACAAGCAGCAATGAGTTCACAGTCTTAATTAGACTGCTAATGCCAGATATTTATTGAATACAAATTCCAACATCTGCCATGGCATGATATGAACCCAGGCCCCCAGAACATCACCAGGGTCTCAGGATTTATAGTTTAGTGATAATACCACAGGCCATCAATTCCCTAATCAACAGATTTCAGATCAGGCTGATCAAAGATCAGGATTCCAACATAGAATGTTCTGCTCTCCGTAATTAGTGTGAAGACTTAGTTCAATCTTAAGTTGGTATGGCTGAGACTGGCCAAGGTAGCATGGATGTCCCAGTTGATGAGAGTTGTTGCAATGACCTATGCAGTGCTCTTGGTATTTGTTTGTAATGTGCACTCTTATGGTTTTGATTGCAGGCGCAGGGTGGTTGGCTACAGCATGACTTTGGACACCTCTCCGTGTTTAGCAAGTCCAAGTGGAACCATATTGTTCACAAATTTATCATTGGCCACCTGAAAGTGAGTCACACTGTATGTGGAGTTTACTGTACTACAATGTTGCTAATCTACCATAACTCCTGTATCAAACAATCTTTTTCCGGTAGTATGTATCTCTCTAACTTCTCACTTCCTGTCCTATGTTTACTATCTCTGTCTAATCATTGCTCTCATGCTTTCTTTTCTTTTCTCTCTCTCTCTATCTATTTCTCCTCACATTTCCACCCGTCTTATGTGCCTTTTTGATCTCCAAGGCTGGGAAACTGTTTCAAGAAATTTTGCCAGAAAACATCTCACAAAATCATGCAATGAAACCACAATGAAATTCCTGACTTACTTCTGCTCATCTCCCCCTGTTTCCATCTTATTTTCTGTCCCTCGTTGTCTCTTTCTGATCAGCTGCTGTTTGTTTTTTTTTATGTTGCCTTCCGTTTCTTTCTTGCTGTCCATGTATTTGTGTCAGTCTCTCATGCACCATTTTTCTTGCTGTCTATCTTTCTTGAACGCTGACCATGCAAATTCCCTATCAATGCCTGTAATTTTCTACATACACAGACCTAATGCCAATTTTACCTGTAGTTGTTTGCACTGTACACTTGTCCCATTGCAATTTACCCAAAGGGACTTGAAATAATGCCAAAGAACATGCAGTCTCATTAACTTGTTTTGGTTGGCTGAGCTTCATGTGGCTGAGACCAGATTTGATCCCCAATAGGTGGAAATCTCTGGATCTCTGCTGACTTAATAGTAGGGGCATTGCAAGTGGCCTCAGTGCCTTTTGGATTAGGGAACAGAGAAGTTACTCTAGTCTGGAGATGTGGAGGCCAATCAGATCATCCTTTGCGCTGATCAAGAAAAACCAAACGTTTGCTTGTCTGGCTGTTCAGTGAGGACAGGTCTTTTAAATTAAATAACTACATTGTGGAGGCAGGCCATTCAGCCCATCAAGCCCACATTCCTTCCAAAGTGCAGCCCACCCAGACCCACCCTATCCCTGTACCCTGAATGGCCAATCCACCTAACCTGCACATCTTTGGACTGTGGGAGGAAACTTGACCACCCGGAGGAAACCTGCTCAGACAAGGGGAGAATGTGCAAACTACACACAGATCTGAGGTTGGAATTGATCTTAGGTCCCTGATGCTGTGAGGCAGCAGTGCTAACCACTGAGCCACCATGCCGCTGTGATGACACTTGTCAATGAGGCTTGGGGATAATTGTTGAAGGGCAGTTGATACCTTTGAACTCATACCCTAGGAAGAGCCAAAGTCATGAAGAGAAAATTGTTATTTCCTTTTCTTTCTCACTGTTGAGAGAGGCTGATCCCCAGAACACCAATGTTAAGATTTATAGGGCTGGTGGGGGAATCCAAAGGAATTCATGCTAGTGGCTGTGTGAGTTCAGTTTGTGTGCTTAAATGATGTGTGCACTATATTTGAAATTCTGAGGGTGTTTTCAGCTTTGATCCTCTTAAGTTGATAATTTCTCTTTCTTTTTCTCTGGTGACAGGGTGCCCCAGCCAGCTGGTGGAACCACCTCCACTTTCAGCATCATGCCAAGCCCAATTGCTTCCGCAAAGACCCTGACATCAACATGCATCCCATCTTCTTTGTCTTGGGAAAGAAGCTCCCAATTGAGGCAAGTAGATCACAGATGCCCAGTCAGCTGCTTGATATCTTCCTGGTGGGACTTTTAGAAACTGTTGAGGTTGGTAGGATACAAGCAGAAAGAGTGAGGGAGATGCTGTAAGAAGTAGGGGGGAACTACATTGTTATGAATAGCAGGATGGGGTATCTGGGAATTGAGGCTATGGGGTGTGGCTGCAAATGGTTTTGAGGGAAGTATGTGCCTGTGGACGGAAAGAGATGCTCAAGTATTCACGGTGGAATATAAGTGATGTCCAGCAAAGGAGAAGTGTGTGGGAATTTGGTCTGGTTGGGTGCTTGGGAATAAGCAGTGGTTGGTGAAGTGGTGCTCAGAGTGGGGAGAGGTTGAGTTGGCATGAGCAGTGTCCAGGGACGAGAACGACCCAGAGTGAGGGAAGAGGGAAGGGTAGCTGATGGGATTGAGATGGGTACAGTAGAGAGGGGAGATGTTCCCAAGAGAGAGGTAGAGGAAGATGAGTGATGGCCACCAGAGCCTCTAAGTGACTCCACATTAAAGTGAGTATGTTTAAAAACTAAGCTTTTGGATTACAACTTTGGAATTGATTTTTAGACCTGATTTTTCTAACCCTGGGAAAATCAGTCTTGAGATGGGAGTCTTACCTCTTGTACAGTTTTAAGTACAAAAGAATTGAGGAATATAGAAATAGAGTGGAAAGGTAGAGTTTGAGGTAGAAGATTAGCTATGATTTTGGCTCAGTAGTTGAAAAAAGCTTGAAGGGTGAAATCATCTACTCCAGCTTATGTTTGTATGTTTAGTGTGAGACCTCGTATTTGCAGATAGAAAGGCTGGAACCGTGTAGGGGAAATTACAGGGATGATTTCTGCCTCTTGGGTACATGTTGTCATAGTGAGATGCACTATGTAGTTCCTGCAACTGGGACAGGGAATTGCTTGGCGGATCAAATCATTCCTAGGACTTCAACTAGGGCAAAGCAACTGTACTTGCTTTAAATAATGTGAGTTGAAACAAATGATTTTGCTGTTCCTCTGTGTATATTTGACACTAGGTGCTATAGGAGCACGAACTGACAGTAATAACTTTTTAAACAGCGCCTTCCAAAGCAGTGACCTCCATAATCAAGAAGATCAAGCAAAGTAGGTGCACAGCAACACCAGCAAATGCATGTTCCATTCTCATACCATTCTAGGTTGGACATATCTCATGGTACCTTCACTGCTGCTAGATCTCTCTGCCTAGTGACACTGAGAAAGTTGTCTCATTACATGGCAGCAGTGGTCAAGAAGATTCGCAACCTCTTCCAACTATAAAATGGATAATAATTGCCAGTCTTGCTAGTGACACCTACATTCAGAGAGAGATTTTTAAAAGAGTAATGAATTCATTTGGAAGTACTTGGCTGAATAAAACAAAGTATGAAGTATGGCTAGTTACAGTTTTGTAGAGTCAATGACTGTATGGTGCTGAGATTATGAAAGTGCCAGGTTGGAAAATAATTTAAACACAGGGATAGATTTTATGAATTAGTGTTCCCACAGAGTATGTTGCATATCAGCTCCATGTATTAGGAATTTGGACTTGGAAATCGGTGTAACCCATTGAATTTGAAAACTAATGAATGATAACAGTGACATATACTGATTTCTCAGCCTGGATTGCCAGCATACACTCCCATCATATGAAGCTGTACACCTGAAGCACAAAATCATAAAATCCAATGCACATGCCTTGATTTTTATTATCATGTGTGCACAAGATGATCATTCAAATCTTTTCTTTCTTTTCTTCAATCCAGGTGGGAATGCAGAAGAAGAAGTATATGCCATACCAATACCAACACAAGTATTTTTTCCTGAGTAAGTCATTTGCATAGAATTACTTGGAATATGTAGGTACGCTGCACGTCCCTGCAAGTCTTCTCAACTACATCTTATAGTAGAGAATTCCACATACAAACAACTCTCTGACTAATAAATAAATAAAACAATTTTCCTTAAATATCTGGTAGGTTTATTAGTGGCAATTTAGTTTTGCTATTTAGTTCTAGTGTCCCCTGTCTGCCTTATCAAATCCTTTCATAATCTTAAAGGCCTCTATCAGGTCACCTCCACAGTCATAATTTTTCTAGGGAACGGAGCTCACCTTGTTCAGCCTTTCCTTTTAAAGTTATTACCTCTCAGTCTTAGTGTAACACTTGGATTTTTGTTTTCGTCTAGTCCAGTAGCTTCATTTTTTCGTAATGTATAACAACTATTCACAGTACTGTAAACTGTGTTTTAATCAAGGTATTTGTACGGGTTTAACATAACTTCTGTGTTTTTCAATTGTAACCCTCTAAAAGTGACTCCTGGATTTTGTTTTTTATTAATGGATTAAACCACTTTATTACTCACAATATCACGTAGACCAGATGAAGTTCACCATCTACCTGGTTTCAAATGGTTGCACTAAATAAAAAGACTGCATAGTAAAGGGCAGTTAGAAAGGGCTCCCTGTAAAGTACTTCTCCTGAACTCTTTCTAAACCCTGCACCAATCTCCTGGTCATTTGTGCCATTTAGACTTGTTGTCCATGTTGAAACAGCTAAATTGCAGTCCCTCTCACTTATCTGTAATAAAATATATTTGCTAATTATACACCAATTCTGTAAGTTTATTAACATCTTGCAGGTTTGCAAACCATGGGGCATTTAGAAATAATGGTTAAAAAGCCCCTTCACTTGTATTTTCACTGCTGCTGTGAGTGTACCCAAAGCAGGCCTCTCATACATTATACATCATAAGCTTTGAGTAAATTTTGAAGCTGTGATAAATGGCAACTTAAAATGAAACTGTTAGCCACTTCCAGAATGAATTCTTTCAAGACTTGTGTCTGCTCTTTCATTCTAAGCCCTGAGTCTTTTTCCCACATCAGGGACTCATTAATGATGCTTTAACTTGAACTGGACATTCTAACAACGCAGTGTTTTTTTCACTCGGAGGACAGCAATGGACAGCGAGGAAACTGAGCATCCTCTGGTTTGAAATTGCTCAAGTTGGGACTTTCCCTCCTTAAAAGTGGTGTGGAATGTGGCATGAAGGGCAAAGAATCAGACTGTGGCAACAGGGAGATATTACCACCTTTCTGCCACCTCAGAAATTAAATTCTGGGAAGGAATGTCTGTGGTTGAGCTTCCTGACCCACTACCAACTGACAACCTTCAGTGGTCAATCACCAACCACTTAGAGGTGCAATCCCATGTTACTTCAGCTCCAGGAAAGAGAAAAAGAAGCTGGCCTACCAGTCCAGTCAAATAGTGCAGGAAGGGTGCCAATTTGTAGGCTAGTGGGTAGATCCTTCACTCTACACTCAATTTTGCAATGTCAAGGATCTTGTCCTAGGGCCTGGTGTGCCCTCTGAGGAACATCCCTTTCCCTCGCTTCAGACACCCCTCCACCTCCTCTCCCCACAGCTTCCCAAACCTGGAACCTGCCCCAAGCAACACTTGCTTTTCCTTCTGCTGATCCCTACCGAGAGATTCAGGGGGAGCTGTTGTTAGTAGCCATGGTCTCTGTCGCAGAGTCCTGGACATCCCTGCCTCTGATTGGTCAGTAGCTCCATGCAAATGGGGCTTCCTAGGCCAAATTCAAAATTCGGGTAGAAAGCCCTCACAGCCAATCAAATGGCTGATTGACACTTGACCCTATGGGCTTTCTCACGAAAGTATACCATGGACTGGGAAATCCCAGCCTCCGTAAAAGCATCATTATTTATGCTTCCACTCTATTCCTATTTATAGCCAACTGTAACTTGCAAGTTTCAGTTCACAACAAGTTTGGGTTATTCTATAGAAACTGTTTTTAATGTTAACTCAAATAGAAGAATTGGAAAGGGCACAAATTGTAACCATTAAAAGCAGGAATTCACTGTAATTTCACCACAAAAACACCCTATTATAAAATTGATGAGACCTGGATAAAAAGGCAAAGGGAAATATTAATTTAACAGTTGAGGATCCTTCCTTCATTTGGCTGCACAGGAGTTACATCTCACTTCTCTGCTGGTTAGCAGAGACGAATTCCACAGATTAGACAGATAAACTGTTGGCATTTAATGATCAGATTAGAACACTATGCCCTGTTAATGTTAGGGGCAAGGGATTACAAGTAGCCCTTTACTATGCAGTCTTTTTATTTAGTGCAACCATTTGAAACTAGGTAGATGGTGAACTTCATCTGGTCTATGTGATATTGTGAGGAATAAAGTGGTTAATAAAAATTAAAACAGGAGGAATTAGCATTGAGCACTTCTGAGAAACCAGACCTGCCAGAGGACACCATTGCTCTTTAGTAAAAGTATTACTCTCAGCAGTGCTGGTGCCCTTCAGTGATCTCCGGCTGTGGCCCCAGACAGTCTCACACTTAGTCTCTGTTATTTCAGATCTCCTGATGTGTCTGGCTGTGGTGAGATTTCTTTCCCTCCCCATTGATTGGCCAGTTTCCTCTCCTGACTTTCCTGTAAATTAAGCCGGTGTTAAGAGAGTGGATTTCCTATGTTTACCTCACAAAGATGGGAGCCTGTCAACCGTGTGAGATTTGCTCAGACATGTATTTGTTGTGTATTAGTTAACTTCAAGGGTATGTACATGAAACTACAAAATGTGACATGAGCTTTTTAGAAGCTATATGCTGGTCTTTGCGCTTTTTGACACTCAAAAGTCTGACTTTACAATCTGATGAGTTTATAACTTTCAGTGTTGAATAAAGTTCCTTGTGCAAACATTTGATTTTTTTTTCCTCCATTTCTCTCCTTTTCTTCTCTCTCTGAATGTATTCATGTTTTCTTAGTTTTGATTCTGTGGTTTTCGGCTGGCCCAAATATGTGAGCCAAGACTTTGAATGCCAGCATGCTGTTTGGCTATGGAGGGCATTACGATTGAGCATGATCTTGTCTTTACCCAACATTGCAATCTGTACACGTGTTATTAGATGCTGAACAGGAGCTGGAAAATGTCTGATTCTCCCTTTGTTATGGCAGATGCACTGAGGTGGGTTGTTTCTGCCCTGTAGCTGAGCAAATTCACCACAGACTACAGTTTGAACCTGTAATTCTTTTTTTTTGGTTTACTGAGGTTATCCCTGTGCTTAGCAATGACTTCAATTGTAATACCTGATTGCCATAGAACAATAAAAAGTTGTAGCACAGAAAAAGACCACTTTGCCCATTGTGTTTGCACTGACTGAGAAAAAAATTAGCTGTCCATTCTAATCCCACCCTCTGACATCTGGTCCATAGCTTTTCAGGTGCAGATCCAGGAATATTTGCATGAGGAGAGGTTTTCTGCCTCCATCACCAAACCAGCCAGTGAATTCCACGCACCCATCATCATCTGTGTAAAAAAGCCATTTTCCTTATTCTTCTACAAACCAGCTTATATCTGTGACTTCCTCTAGGGGAAACAGGTCTTCCATGTTCACTCCTTCCAAGTGCCTCATTATTTTGTACACCTCAATTAAGTCACCCCTCAGACTCCTCCGTTCTAAGGAATCCAACCCTAGCCTATTCAATCTTTCTTCATACCTGCAATTTTCAAGTCCTGGCATCATTCTTCTAAATCTGTATTCTTATCCAAAATAATTTTGTCCTTCCTGCAGTGTGGTGACCAGAACTGTATGCATAACTGTGAACTAACCAGAATTTTACACAGTTCCAGCATTGCATCCCTGCATTTGTATTCTATGCCTCATGAAGTAAAGATTTAAAGGAAAAGAATGCTTTCAGTACCATCTTTGTCTACCTGTTCTGCCACCTTCAGGGAACTGTGGCACGCACTCCAGGGTCTCTCATTTCCTCTATCCTCTCTCATTATCCCCCCATTTATTGTGCAGACCAGAGATAGCAGGTTGGGCAGTCAGGGTAATGTTGGGGCATAGGTCAGGAAGGGTGCTTACCTCTTTGAGACAAAGGAAGTAATTGAGTATAATGGAAGTGGATGTAAGAAGAGTTAGTGGTGATGTATGAGCAGGAGATAGGTCTCCAATTTGTGAGTAGGACATGCAAAGGACAGTAGGGATGAGCAGTTGGGAGAATGAAGTAGGTGTGAGCCCTTGAGTGAACATTGATTCATTGAATACTGAGAGTTATTGTCCCTGAGCCTTGGTCAGAATCCTGTATAGTGACAGAGTTAGATCTAATTCTGGTGTTTGGTGGTGAGGACGCAGAGAGAAGATGGTGGTACTTAGCTTTGTGGCATTCATTAATTATGTAACTGAGAAGTTGGCTGTATTCTTCAGGGAATCTGTTGCAAGTGAGGCAGAAATAGTCACCATTTGTGAGATCTTCCAGCTTCTACTCTTTCGACACCATATTTAAAGGCCAGCTGCATACATTCAGATGTTGCAAGCTAGGAATGACCCGTCATACTGTGGCACTCAATAATGACAATGGAAAGGCAAGCTAGCTCCCCAGAACAGTGATCTAGAGGTGTGGTGGACAGGATTTTGATTTGATTTAATACTGTCAAATGTACCGAGATATAGTGAAAAGTTGTCTTACGTGCTTTACTGGCAGATAGTGCAATACAAGTGCATCAGAGTAACAGAACAGAGTGCAGAAGACAGTGTTACACGTTCTAAGAAGTTGCAGTGAGAGATCAACATTAACATTTAAGAGGTCCATTCAAAAGTCTGATAACATCAGAATCTTGAATCTGTTCATACGTGTATTCAAACCTTTATATCTTCTGCCCAATGGAAGAAGATGGAAGAGAGTATAACCAGGGTGAGAGGGGTCTTTGATTTTGTTGGTTGCTTGGAGAGCAGTCCTGTTTCTTGCTGACCAACAAAAAGGCCGCATCAACAGTTGTAGCCAGCCTGGACAGAAATTGCACTGCAGATCAGAGCTGTGTCCTGCAGCAAAAGGGACGTGCAATAGTGCCACAAGAAGGTCAACAATCTTCTGACCTCTGTAAGGGCAAGTGCCATCACCTTTTCTCTGCCACCTCTCACCCAAGGGCCAGCACCCACTCTCATACTGCTACTGCAGACACATCTCACCAAGGCTGATGGACAAAACCCTCTGCGTTGCATACATCATGCCCACTTAAGTGTTCACACCCACCTCAATCTCCCAAACTACTCACCCTTCCTGCTCTGTGCTTTCGAATCAGTCAATGAGGACACATTTTCTGTTCATGCATGACCACAAATGGCTCTTCCATCACTTGTATCACAGTCAGTCCTTCCCTTTAACTCACTGCAGTAAAAATTGCAGGACCTTCCTGGACTGATGTCTCAACAAACCCTGACTGACTGATCTGTAATTCCTGGACTAATTGCAGTTGATCTACATGACTGACTGATGCCAATCCCTCAAATTTTCATTGAATGAGCCCCTTGACTAACGGTGGCAATACTCCAACCCCGGGCACTTTTCAGGATTTAGGCCCATTCAAGAGTTTGTTTGATAATCAATCAGTAAGCATGGCCTGACTGGATAGCCATTGTCTTGAGGGATGGCTTCAATGAGCTCTATTTCCACATCAAGCTTGCTTGGTGACCAAATGGCTCTGGCCCTATTTATGAGGTTGCCAATATAGCCAATTTAACAGCACGTGGAGCTGTAGGAATCCCAGTACATATATTGCCCAGAGAAAGTAGACCTGCACTAGATAGTAGTGGAGAATTCATTGGCAGATTTCTCATTTAATGTTGAGAAATAGAAACAAGTGAGACTTGAACAGCTCCATGTCAAAGTTAATATGAGCTGGGATGGAGTCCATTGAGTTGTGTAAGGAAACTTCTACAATTTTTGTTTTGTTCTAAATATTTTGCTTTCTCATTTTGTCATAGTTGGACCTCCAGCACTACTCCCCCTTTACTTCCAATGGTACATCTTTTACTTCGCTGTACAGCGAAAGCAGTGGGTGGTGAGTATCTCTAGCAGTTTCCTTGGTCTTGTTCAATCCCATCTTCACTTTTTCCGATATTTTATTTGAAGTATAGCTTCCCATTGGCTAAGTGCATTACCTAAAGTGTACTGAACCATTCAGACAAAAGACTCCCATGTTCTAACCTGTCTCTAAGCTAACTTAGTTTATAGCTAACCACTGACTGCTGACATCATTAATCTATACCTGAGTAATGGGTGTACTCCTGGCATATTTAGAATATTGGATATTGCTGGCATAACTGTTGTATTCCACAGTGGAAGATTGTATGACTGCTCTATTCAGTAGTACCTCAGGCAAGTATGATGGGAAATTCAGGAATACTGGGAGATTATATACTGTTCTTTTCACTAATACCCAATGAGGTATAACTACTATATTTAGTAATGCAAGACAGGGTAGGTGGCTCAATTGTATACCCAGCTATTTTTTTGCTTTAATCTGTGTAGTCTATTAGCATACAGGAATAGTTTTCCCGAAGTGTGTGACTTTCAGAACACTTGGCTGGGAGTGTAAAATCTAGTGATCAGGTAGCTCCTTGAGAGGTGTCACTCACTAGTAAAGGGGAGGCAGTGGTACATGTGGAAAGTTTCACTTTAACTGATGCTGGCCAGCAAAGAGACCTTTCTACAGGAAATGCAGTAACGTTAACAGCTCTATTTAGAGAAGCAGGTAATTTTTCAATAAACATAAAGTGGCACTTAAATGGAGGGAGGTCACTGAGTCAATGTAGACTCTCAAGGACAAGTGATAATGCTACATAAGTTTACTCCTAACACTTGTGTGGTACAACATCGCATTAAAGACAGGTTTTCTCTGACGAGTCCGGGTTCGTATGGAGGAGTTGACAAGCAGGCGTATATCTGTAGATCGACCTCCTCGGTGTGTTGCACCTGCATTGATTGTCCATCCACTCCCCATGAAGACATGGTCTTTACTTAATTCCATTTAGCCCTGTCTGACTTTTGCGTTCATTTCCATCTCCACTCCCTTTTTTGATCTCCTTAAATGATAGCAGCAATGAATATTGAATTAAAGTATGAATAAGGCAAAAATGGTAAGCTGTCCAGTAAAATTAACTAATATGTGGAGCAAACGTAGTAAAATACAATTATGAATGCAAAATGAGCATTTTACTAGAGTGGAAAACTTGATTTCCCTTTAAGAAGCCAGTGTGATTGGGCCAGACCAGGCCAGTATATGCCATCCTATGAGGGTATGGTGGGCACCTAGATAAAGGCCAATTCCAAAGTCACAACATGTGGCATGATTTAATGGAATATTCACCCATTCTTGAAACATTGCTTCATTGTAGCACTTGGGATTGCATGTGAGCCCAAACTAAGCACCAGAGAGTTCAAGAACATTAACTTGATCAGTAGTAATGGGGGATAAAGGCAATTCCTTTTCTACTGAAAGACTTTTAAGATTCTTCCTGGGTCATAGACTGCCATAAGCAATGATCCGTGCCTGCAGTATCTATGGTGTCTCTACCAAATGTCCTACATAAATAGTAAAACATGAGATGAGGCCATTCAGTCCTTTGCTCCAATGCTGGCTCTTTGAAAAACCTTCCCAATTAGTTCCATTCCCAACTTCCTTTTCTCTCGAGTATTAATCTAATTCCCCATTAAAACTAAACATTGAACCTACTTCCATCAGCCCTTTCAGTTGGTGCATTGTAGATCACAGCGACTCACAATTAACTGTCCATCATCATCTAATTGGTGCATTCTCTACAGCAACACCTCATCTAAACAGAGTTCACTTGCCAACCAATCAGCATGCTCTTTCCATACAGTATAAAAATGTCGTTGCCCATTACATTGGTATTTCTAATGCATAGTCCTGATAACCACAAGATGAGAATTTTTTTTTACGGCAACCTAATAAAATGTGTCCTCCTGACCCTCTAGTTCTTTTGCCAATTAACTTTAATCTGTGTCCATTGGTTACTGACTTCAGCCAATAGGAAAAGTAGTCTCTCCTCATTTACTTTATTGAAATCTTCAGGGTTTTGGAACCTGTATTAAATCTTAACTTTCCCTGCTCCAAGGGGAACAACTCAGCTTCTTTACATCTCCATGAAGCTGAAGTTGCTCATTCCAAATGCTATTCTCATAAACATGTCTATACTCTAAGATCATGTCACATTACTACATCAATACTATCTTTCCTGACTATATTTGATGAACTGTCACTGTTACCCAAGTAACTAAATAACGAGCAGCCTATTCTTTGTTGAAGGATATTCAGAGGGTCTCCATTAACTCCTGTTGTTCCCATAATCTTTCTACTAACAAACTCTTGTCCCGACTCCAATCAATGGAAAACATTCTAATTCCATTTAGACAACCTTATCACCCCCAAATTCAACTCCTCTAGTTTATATTTGAATGAGCAGTGCAAAGCCCCCATAAGGAAGTGGCATTGGCTGTTTGCATCTCAAAACTGTACCACTATTCAATGAGACTGTTGTTGATTGGCAACTGAATGCCATCTATCTGCCTTTTCCCTAAATCACTTAATACCTTTGGTTAAGAGCATTTATCAATCTCAGTTTTAAAATTAGCTATTAATCAAACATCAACTGCAGAAGAGAGTTCTATTCTTTGACTGCCTATTTTGTGTAGAAGTAACTTCATTTCTAAAAGGTCTTGCACAACTTTTCAGATAATGTCTCCAGGTCACAGACTCCTCAGCCAGAGGAAATTGTTTCTCTCTATATACTCTATCTGTTACCCAGACTGTGTTGAAAAATTTGATCAAATGAACTCTTATCTGTCCAAAATACAGACAATTTGGATTGTGTAGTCTCTGCCTGTGCTTCAACACTTCGATTTAGTACTGTTCTGGCAAAGCTATTCACTTCAAGACACATAGAACATCCACAAAGCCAACACTGTAAACTGTACACAGGCCCAGTGCAAGCCTGCGCATGGACCCTGCATTAAGCTGCATATAAAAATAGTACAACTTCAAAAACACCTGCTGTACTATTAGTTCAGCACCTTCAGCATTTGAAAATATCCTAAGAAGCTTCATAAAAGCATTATTATGTAAAATATGATGCAGAGTCACATACTGAGACAGAAAGTCAGACAAAGCTTGGTCAAGTGGGTACGTTTTAAGGAGTGAAAACAGAAATTGCTGGAAAAGCTCAGCAGGTCTGGTAGCATCAGTGGAGAGAAATCAGAGTTAATGTTTCGGGTCACGTGACCGAAATGTTAACTCTGGTTTCGCTCTAAAGATGCTTCAAGACCTGCTGAACTTTTCCAGCAATTCCTGTCTTTTGTTTCTGATTTACAGCATCTGCCGTTCTTCTGGTTTTTATTTAGGTTTTAAGAAGTATCTTCATAGGGGAAAGTGAGGTAGATAGGTGGCGAGGCATATAGAGAGGGAATTCCAGAGCTTAGGGCAGACCACCAATAGCGCAGCAGTTAAAATTGGGCTACTTGTGAGACCAGGAGGACAGGCTACAGCTATCTTGATGGGTTGCAGGGCTGGGAAAATTATGGAGATAGGGAGATTCAAAAACATAATTAACACTGAGGCATTACTTCATGATGAGCTAACGCAGGTCAGCAAGCACAGAGTCAGGAGCCGTTGAACAGGATTTGGTGTGAGCATAGACACAGGCAGCAGATTGTTGGCTGAGCTGTAGTTTATGGAGAGTAGAATGTAGGAGACTGGCTGGGAGTGCATGGGGATAGTCAAATCTAGAAGTAGTAAAGGTGTGGCTGATGGTTTCAGCAGCACAGAAGCAGATACAGGAGTTAGACACTGTTGCAGAGGTGGAAATAGTTGGCCATAGTGATGGGACAGGCATCTAGATGGAAGTTCACCTTGGAGTCAAATACAAACCTAAGTTTGCAAACAGTTCAGTTTGGCATCAGACTGTTGTCACTGAGAGGGATGGTTAGAGAAGGGAGTTTGTGTTAGCAAACAAAGTCAATTGTCTCAGTCTTCCCAGTACTTAATGGGAGGAAATATCAGCTCATCCAGTAATGAAAGCTGACTGGAGAGGGATGGATTTAAATATGGGATATAAAGATGGGACTTACATTGGTAAAGGACAACATGATCACGGACTTAAACTTACAGGTATATTCTGCAGGGATTCTACACTAACTCAGACAAGCCCGTACACAGACTAACAGAAACCCAACCAGCCCTTACACACTCCCGATACAAACCTCAACTCGAATCCAGACAGACTCTGAGACGGACCTGGCACAACTTCCAATCTAGACCCAGCAGAGGGAAGTGCTGGAAGATGCTATTTTTCCCACTGGTCTCACATTTGCTCCACTAATAACCTAAATCTCTACATTATCTGACACACCCCCTCTATGATGGACAGCTGAATGCTTCAATAAATGCATTACTTGTTTTGGTTGACAGCAGTCTGATGGTGTAACACGGCAATAATTGGAGGAGGCTGGATAAGGAATTGTTGCATTCCTAGGAATCCAGGAAACACAATCTATTCGGGTCATTTTATCCTGTAGGGACGGAATATGCTACATAGAATTAATTCAGATCAGGAATAAATTAAACTTAAAATGAATGTTATCACAGGAGAAGAGTTTAAGTGCCAGACAGTCAGATGTTGAAAGAGTTGATCCTTTATGTTCCTAACTCTGAAGAATTCTTCTTTACGTGTGATATAACTTTCAGCTCTGAGTTTGTTCCAGGAATCAGACCTGTTTCAGAATTGATTACAGGGGCTGCATTGTTGTTGGGATTTAGTTTAATTTGTATAAAATGTGCATGACTGCAAATCACTCAGTGCTAGCCTGGAAAAATCCCCAAAACACTCAGCACATCTGGCACACACCCCAGCGCCAGCTCACACACACATCCCAGCACTAGCTCACACACACACATCCCAGCACCAGCTCACACACACACACACACATCCCAGCACCAGCTCACACACACACACACACA